TCATAGAATGAATTATGTGTTGAATTAAGATAGAAGTAGTAAGCCTTGGTGTTATTTAGTTTGATAATTGATTTTAGATAGCAGGAGAAAAATCAATTGTGACCCTAACAAACCCAATTCATATAACTAGTCTTTCCCCGTGTTTGAATCCACCTCTATTAGTTCAATTGCTTAGGTATATTGAAGCTTGAACACAATGAAAACAACACTTTTTATAAATGATATCTATCAAAATTAAGATGAAGAATAACAAATCTTTGCTCTAAAAGAAACAAGATCCAAAGAAGACAACATTTTATTTTCTACCCTTTTTTTAGCTTCTATATATTTGTAATACTAAAGAGATGGAAAATCAACAACTTATAGATTCGATCCAAGAGCTTTCACTTGTTGACTTACCAAATGAGATATTACAATTGTTACAACTTTCAAGTTGACATTATTGAAATAAAGTTCCTTAAGAATGACATATTCTTCTTCAAATAGATGACGAGATATGTATTTGATATCATGACTTTGGAAGAGACTCCCAATGTTTGGTGATTTTATTAGATGTAAAAACAACTCTTGATGATGTTTCAAATATTTTATTTGAAAGAAGTTATGAAGGCCTCAACAACAATCAAATAACACGGTGGTCTTCTTATCTTAGTATAGAATATTATTATTGGTTGAGAGGATCCATCAACCATCTTCAAAGAAAACAAATATCAAGGTATGTGGCAAATATAATTTGTTACATTTTGTAATTCATTAATATATGATGATCACTCTTCATAGAACTCATGTTTAGAAGGAAAGGTAATATCACGGATATACATATGTATTTTAATAAATATCTATATGATTAGATAGAAGTAAATAAAAGTAGATAAAAATATGTAAATTTCAGAATATCTCCTAAGGATGTTGCTTTGACTTTAGATATATTTGTAATTGATTGATAGATTAGAAAATTAGTCAAGAAGTTAATCATGTGTTGATAGCTTGCAAAACAAGCTAACTATGTGGCATACATATAGAAATCTTATCTTATAAGTTAAGATACATGTCTTGTAAAATCAACACATTTTGGAAGTTTTATAGAACATTGCCATGTATTTGCTAATTAAGTATATATATGGAGGCAAGAGTAAAGCCTTCTTCACTCTTGTCAATGCCTTTCTAGTCTAATCTTGTTTCAAGACTTTCTAAACTTCTTGTTTTTGGCCATAGCCATTCTAGTTCAATATTATATGATCTTTGAATAACTTTTTAGTTCTTTTCTATGACACAAGAGTGTATTGAGGATTTCTTTCTTCAAAATTGATATCCTTGACATACAATTGGCCTAATTGAGTGAATTGTTTAGACTATCAAACATAGATTATGAAAGTATGGATTACTTCATGACAATCATTATAATTAAAACTTAATATTTTTGTAGATTTCAATAGATTATTGTTTCAATAGACAAGTATCTTTAATATCTTATAGTTCTTACTAGTTATTGTATGGATAGGAGCCAATTCTACCTAGTTCAGTATGTAAGAAGCTAGCTCCAATTGTGGACTTAGATGATCTTTATGTTTGAACTCAATGTCTATATGATTAAATAGAGTTCTTTGAAAAAGCCATGCCTATGGCTATGAAAAACTTACCTATTGGTCAACATCGAGATACTTTATGATATGCTTGCATTTATAGTAGAGCTTATTAAACCCACTTGTAAAAATTACCTAAAAAAGATTATGTGTATTTGCAATATGAGGTACATATAATACTTGATATTAAGGTAGGGCACACAATTTTGCATATAAAGAATGTATTTCTTAATAGTATTTTGTTATTAAAAGGCAAAGATGGACAAGAGTGTTGAAAACATTCAAAGAATTGTACTCCTTATCATCTTCCTATTGATGAGTACAATGTATTGTGTTTAATGATCTTTGTTTATATGATAGCTATCATGTGATATAGCATCGAGTATCAAATCTCATCACATGTATGTAATTTAGTTTGGTTAATGGTTTTTCATCCAATAGTAGTTTTTTTGTTAATTGACTTATTCATGTTAATTAAAATTTGAGTACTTAAATAAAGAAAAATTCTTGACTTAACATTCTTGTCAAGTCAAGTCTTGTGAGTGATTTTGAGAGTTAGAGAATTTGTTGTAAGGGTTTGTTGGCTATGGTGTTTTAGCCATTTTAATAAAGTTTTAAGGTTCCTCTTATTTCTACACTTGCATTCTTAGATTCTCTCTTTGTAGTGTGAGAGATAGCTTGATTTAGTTTGGTATAGATTTCCAATCTTTCTTTGAAAGTGTATTGGGTGTACATTTGTATTTGGTTTAAATTACATACTTTATGATTGGTTGATAGCACTCAATGTATTGTGCATAATGACCTTTGTTTATAAAATAATCTTGTTAAATTGTGAAATAGATAAATTACAATAAAACTTTGACTAATGAATACACTATTGTATCATTGAAAGAAAGAAAGTAGACAATTAAGAGTTACATATAAAGTAGATAAAAAACTTTTTCTACTTACACAAAATCTAGAAAGTTTTAAATGAAGATTAAAACATAAGAAAGTTATTAATAAGATTGAAAATGGCTTTAAATTTTCTTCTATTTATATTATCTATCAAAAAAGTCTTATAAAAGCTTCTTGAAAAATGTAAGGCTTATGGTTGAAGTGTTATGTTATAGGTTTCTTCTAATATAACTTTCTAAAAGGAAAAAATATATAGAAAAAATTTCAATAGTTATATAGGATATCTATAAAAATCTAAATATAATCTATATCTTTGAAATCTTAAATCTTAAACCTTAAACCTTAATTTTAATGTAAAGAAGATTTGTTAATTACTTTAAATTAATATTAGATAATAATTACTCTTGTTGGATATTGATCTATAAGTATCCATCTAAAAATACTATTTTTTGTATTGAAGTTAAGAAGTTATAGTAAAAAAATTATGTTAAGATTAATTTTACACCAATATTTAATTTGAATGAGATTTTATAAAATTCAACTTTAATATGGATTATTAAGATTGAATTTTAATTAAAAAATTAGAAAAAAATAAAATAGTAAGTTGGTAAGTAATATATATTTAAGATTAATTCTAACAAAAGCAAATTTTTAAGAACAAAAATACTAATATTTTTGATCTTACAATGGATATTTGATACTATTTGATTTATCTTTCTCACTACACATACACATATGACTATTGGTCGTTATGGTTTAATAATTATTTTCTAAATGTGGTCTATCATTTCATAATAGAATATATAATCATACATCTTTGCAAATCATGTAGCTAGTAATGGCATTTATGCTTGGCTTCCTACATTTACAAGCTTCACATAGTATGTCTAATATGGATTTTGGAATAAAGCTTGCTATTGGCAATAATTTCTAGCTTATTTAGCTAAGATCCAAATTTTAAATTCAAAAGAAGATCAAAAAAGCTGAAGATTTTGTTAATATATTGCCAAATATTTTGAATATTAAGAAGCCTACTTTCATTTTTAGTATTACACTTTTTAATGTAACAAACTCAATTTGATGTTGTTTTTAGATGAAGATTAATTACTATTAATATCTATATCAATCAATGAATCTAATAACTATATTAATTATGTAACACTAAATTTTTAGCTTTATTGACCTACTTCTAATAGTTATGACTTTAAGTTGTTTTTGTCTATTGTATCTAGATAATATAGAATTAACTTTTTATCTAGAGTTATCTTGCATATTTTTTCTCAACATTGATTTTATCTTCATCTTCCATAAGGTATTAAAATTAGAAGTATCAATATTAGTAATAAGGACTTCTTTTCTATGGATTAGAATTCATAGTTTTGTGGAAGACTACCAAAACCTATGCATTATTATCCTAAAATAGCTCTCTTGATTGCCATGTAGCCAAATGTATTGGTGACTTAATGCGTTTCTCATACATAGCCATTCCAAATAGATATTTTCTTAAAACCCTAAACCTGACATCTCGAGACACTTCCCTTTTCTCGGTCAAGCTTATTTACGCATTCCAAATTATGGCTTCACATCCAAACAATCTCTGTGGTCTAGTCTCATTCACCCACACTTGCAGTCAGAGCAAAGCCTGGATTTGTAATCTTCTCCATGAACCTTTTCAGACCCATTGAAATACATGATAAAGAATGAACTCCAGAGTTGCTGACGATATCTTTTTCCAATTACATTCGACGTTTTACCATTTCCATGCGTGCACAAAGTCCAGCAGTTGGAATATCGGGTTCTAGATTGCTAACACGAAAGCTATCGGCTTCTTATGCAGAAATTCACATCAAAAAAATTTCAACATAAAAGAATGCAATATATATATATATATATATATATATATAACCCACATTAGTCCACATAAAACCAATGAACACGATCTACACAGCACAACCGAAACAGATAATAGCGCAGTTGATCCACATCGTTTATTTCCATTTACTCCAAGGAAACTCTACACGTGTACATCTGGAAAGGATAGAAAATCCACAAACAGTTGACGTAATGAAAATGCCAAAATGTATGCCAGAGCTTCTAAGGTTGAATTATGATCAAAGAATATATGTGCGTACGATTCGTTTGAATGCCTTTGTTCGAGTTAAAGTCCAATTCACAAATCACCTCTTGAATGCAGATTTCATCTGCTCCGGACAACTCGATGTTTCTAACCTTGAGATCATCCGGCATCCCCATGGGGTCTTCAGAACTCTATCAAGATCTTGCTTTGGAGTGGTTCCAATGTACGCGTTCTCAGATCTCATCTGTGGTCTAGTCTCATTCACCCACACTTGCAGTCAGAGCAAAGCCTGGATTAGCAGGTTAATAATGCGAAGCACAGGGAAAGATTACAGAACATGAAGAGATGAGGATTAATAAACTTAGAAAATATAGTGTTTCTAAACAATTTTACGGTGAAATAACCAGTACAATCCCAGAATTAAACACAAAGAAGACACTGAATAATGAGTTGGACAACCAACATAAAACTAAAAGATTTGAATTTCGTCTGGACCTCCACATCAGGCATGCCAAGTCATTGAGAAGTCTCACGTCAAGTCTCTGATATAGATGGATACTTAAAACTACATGATTATATCGTACCACTAGAAAAACCCGTGTTTATCTGTAAACAAATTCAGAGCAGAACCAGGTCACCAAAACGAGAAGGATTCAAATACGTACGTTCGCAGATGAGTTACTCGTAGATGGTTTGAGGGTACTCTGTGGCGCTAAGGGTAAGCTGTGAGAGGCAGTCAATCCAGGTAACTGTTGATCAAGGTCAACTCCATGACTATTAGAGTCCTTTTCCCGCTGCACCCGCTGCTCCTCTAAAACTTTCTCATACCGCAAAAAATTGGGTTGGTGCGTCGATGATAGTAGGCGGGCCCACATACGATCGCTTGTATTTACATGCCTCTGTTTCTCAACAGCTCTCTGTTGCATATCAATTACCAACAATCAATTGAAACTCGACATAACACAACATAAGCAACCCGTTACGAATTGCAGTTAATGCGTATCATCGACAAGCTGATACAAATCTAAGGATCATGCTTGTACCATTAGCTGCAACATGAAAACGTCTTAGATAGATTAAGTTACAGATTGTTTTCAAAGGAAGATTTGTGCTCGGAAGTAGGAAATTGAGATCCATGAAGAAAGACGATATCTGTACAGAGATAGGGATGTAGCAATGGCGGTTGTTGACAGGACCAGCTGTAAACCCACAAAAACCAGCCATAGCACCGTGGATGGCACTATGTGCCAACAAAGTGCAGTAGACGTTATCCGATGCAATGCTAGGCACAGCTCGAATCATATACGTTGGATCTGCCAAACACATCCACGTACATTCAAAGATTAAAATTCCCATTCGGCGGATTATATTGCAGTAACAAAAGCCCACAGACCATTTACATTGGATAAAATGGGCAAACTGCAAATGAAAACAGCATTTTGCTGAATTTAACTGGCTGCGAAAAATCAAAATCCGCAGTTAACTTAACCCGTTGAAAAGGATGTTTGCAAAACCTTGATCCAATCAGGATCTGCAATTAGTACTGAACCAAACCGTTATCAAGATTTTACTAACTTAGAACACGGTTTATTCAAAGTTATCAGATAAAATTGGAGCAGATGAGTTTACACATTTTACCTATGTATTTCAGCGTGATGGATTCCTTATGAACCTTCAAAAAATGTTCCTGCAACAACGAAGACATTTTCAAAAAAACTACCAACTTCTACAAAACTAGTTGGTAGTTGGCAGTGAAAATAGAGTCAATAACCAAACGAAATACATTGGGTGATTGGTTGCCAACGAAAAATGTTTAGTGTTGGCTCGTTTTCTATAAACACCGTTCTGTTCTCTGACGGAAATCATATAAGGTAGTAACTTATAAAATAAGATGTCTATGTAGTTTCGTTTTTCTAGCAAGAACTTTTGTAACGTAAATAATTACGAGTTCATAAAAAGAGTACAAAAATATAAGACTATTGCCCTGCACAGGAAGGTTCAAAACGTTGAAAACGAGAGCTTCGTGAAGGACACTAGCATGCCTGAGGCTGGACATACAAAAGAAAAATGCATCGTCCGCATAAAATAGAATTAAATAAGGGATTAGTTAAAGAAATAGGAGGGGAATGGCATGCACGTTTAACCTTCAGCCTTTGACAAAGCCAGAGACCAACGTCAAGCAGCAGGCGATTGCCAGAAGCGTCACTCATCTTGTCAAGAGAACTAAGGCTTTCAGCGATAAGTTCCTGACCTGAACCTTCTGCTACAACAACCACCATATGACCATTTTCCCTCAGCCTACGGTACACAAACTCATACAGACCATCCTCCCCTTCCAGAAAGAAAGGTACTTCCGGAATCAAGCAGCAGTCCTGTTTTCCATAACCGATGGCAGATACGGTGCATCAGAATCACATCCTTCAACTACGTGGATAATCAAGGAAAATAGTATCTACTACCCATAGTACCCATTATTACCATGCAATTAACAGAAGACGTAATTTCAATGTATGACTCATGCGGCAGACACTATTTCAAAAATATATAGACTTCTTCAAACCCATCGAAAGGAGTCAGATCATTAAAAGCGACACTTAAACGATATTACAGATCTGTTAGAGACACTAATGATTGCCAGAACTGTCAAGAAGATAATTACCACATCACGACTCGCAAGAGTAGCGTACATGGCAATGTAGCCTGCACACATGAACCGCATCAATAAATAATTTGATTCCCAAACATGGAAAACTCAATCATCATGTAAAGTTCTATCATTGTCAAATGTTGTAGAAAAGTCTGCAACAGAATGGTTCGATTCGAGTAATGTCAGAACATTACCACTGTAACGACCCATGAGTTTGACCACCCCAACACCATTATGAGTACTTTCTGCTTCCACATGAGCTGCATTGATTGCTCGTTGTGCTTCTTCCACAGCAGTGTCAAATCCAAAGGACTTATCAATTATCTGTTCATTGAAACAAATCCCAAAAGAGAACAAGTCAGAACGCACACGAATGAATTCAGGCAACATGTGGAAATAAGCACACATGTGAAAAAGCGCGTCACTGTGTAGTAGGGATGATGTATAGTACATCAATGTCATTGTCGATCGTTTTGGGGATCCCCGCAACAACGACCTTCAAACCTCGCTTGATTATTTCCTGCAATCAGCACTCAACTTAATTAAGGACAAGCTTCACTGCAGCAGAGAACTATGAATACCACATAGGATACACTTAGAAACTTTCTAAAGATTGATCGAGCAAAATAACGAACCTTGACAAACAAGGTGCTAATGAAAGAACCACATTTGCGTCTAATTGGACCAAACTTGACACCGAAAAAATTCCTCTGATTCTGATGATTCGTTTAAAGGATGCAACTAGGATAGATCTTTGACATAGCTTCTCTTTCTGCATCTTCAAGACTGCAAGCGCCATGAATACAGAAAACTTTGTTAAATATAAACAATGCTAAGACTTACAAGTGCAATAAGTCCAAAGTTTAACTACAGTGAACACGACACACCTCATGAATGGCTTCTGCACCCTTGTGAGTACCATCTCCACCAATAATGTACACCTGAAGAAGTCGCACAGGTTTAAAAAGAACATTTCTTGACTTGCTCACAACGCTTTTAGAGTATCAGATTGAAAAACCCTTTTAGTGAACATCCACGTCCAGAACTTCAAGCTTTATCTTTGTAATCATAGCAATACATTAAATAATAATAATAATAATAATAATAATAATAAATAAGTAATAAAAAATATAAAAAGGCTTCTACAAGCACCCTGCGTTTCACAACACTGGCATGAAAATAAAACGCATTTTGGGTATAGGATTGAAATATTTTCATTCCAGGACATTTGCACTGCATCTACAATATCCAAAGTTGAATGTAATAATATTTATTGATGCGTATACCTGATTGATCCCACGGTTCTCAATAGAGTCCACTATCTTCATCGTGTCATGGCCGCCACGGGAGGTCCCCAAAATGGTGCCACCTCTCTTATGAATGTCGTTCACCACTTTGGGATTCAAAGTAATTGTGTTGCGCGCATAGAAACCTCTGTAACCTCCCTGCCAATAGCAACATATCAAAAAATCAAATCCAAACGGATTCCGAACACCACTTTTTCATGAGCTCTAACCTGGAAAAGATAGTAGTACTTATCTATTAAGGACAAGGCGGAATGTATATGAAAACAACAGAAAGAGTAATGTGATAGAAAAGAAACACACATCAATCCCATAAATCTCTCGAACGCCATATTGATACCAAAGTGCACAAACAATCTCACGAATCACAGTATTGAGGCCTGGGCATAGGCCACCACATGTGACTATACATGCCTTCACCTCTTCCGCCCTGAAATAAATCTGCAAGTCCAAAGTGTAGATTGTGAGATCTTATAATATGAAGCCTTCTAAGCAGTGAAATCATTGGTACTATTAATCATTAGAAATCATAGACTGACATGTCAACGGCTCTGCACACGGGTAATAATCTGTGTCTAATGATCGGTTAGATCAACGAGGTTTCTGTCGCATGATAACCACAGAAAAAGGAGAAAACATACCTTGTCTCTTGGCCCAGCACGTCTGAAGTGTAAGCCAGACCCAACGTTTTCCATGTTCACTACTATCTGTTGTATTCCCAGATTAATGTTTTAGTATGAATCATTAAATTTTGAGGTTATCTGTGCACAACTGGAAGAAACTCAATTACAAAATACTGACGGATTGATGTCAGTTGGTAAGAGTAGATATTCGAAAGTCAACAACTCCAAACAGAGTTGATGTATCAAGCTTGAACCCTACTTTGTTGAATCCATCTCAAAGCTGGCCAATAATACAATAAGAAAGATGTGCAAAAAAAACATTAATTTCACCAAAAACGAGTGAAGGCCTAAAAGTTAAAATCTGTCAAAGCACCACTAAAAGTCCAAGTGCTGGAGAAAAACATTGAAGGCAAGACTCGTGACTGAACCGCAACACAACTTGATAATTCAAAAAATGAGATGAACAAATATTTGAATGGCTGATATCCCAACCAAATTCAAAAGGCATAGGAAACAGAGAATCGAAGTAGTAGTTCACACTTACATCCTTCGCAACAAAATCGTCATCATCCACAAAGTATTTCCTGCCTCATTTTCAATATTCAAATCAGTATCATGGTGTCTGCATTCCTTTGGCCATTACTATATACAGCTGTAAGGCTTTCGCTGTGATACGCATAATAATAGCTCCAAGATATAGAGGAATCAAGCATTGCCCAAGAATTCAACAAAACATCATAAAAACAGACAATCAACACCTTAACATGTTATACATAAAGATCAAGCTTCAATTGAGAAGCACAGACTTGAAGATATCTAGCAATTTCTGGCTTTGAACATGTCTTTCTGCAAGCATGCACCTGTTACTCGGATTAATCCATGACGAAAACAAGTGAAAAATTAGTGTTGGCGAAAATCGCAAACAAGAGATATGATTTCGATCCTTACTTAACAGCAGAGTACGCTGGGTTGAACTTCAGGGGATTCGGAAATGTCTGTAACAAAATAAGAACATACAGTTAGGCGTCAAGGTCGTTAACGACACACCATGTAAACCTGTTTCCACCCTGATAGGATCACTTTTAGGCAATGGAAAAGAAAACAAGGGAATCGATCTTAAATGTATGCTGATTTGGAAACCACTAATTAAGAAAGAGGATGTAAGAAGGTATTGAGAATTCGGTGTCCGGATTAAGCAACTTCATCGTGGGTCCATTAATGGGCTGAATCTAATTAAACAAACGAAAATAAAGATTATGACAGAAACCACAGAATTACATTCGCAAAGGATAATCACAGAATCTGATACTGAGTTAGAAACTCATGGTAGCAAAAATAATGGTACTATGAAACTGGCAAGCAAGAGGTTCTTCTTTCATCGCCGTCAAAGAATCCAGCTTTGAAGATATACAGTGAGTTCAGAGTAAAATACTAATCGAGTGGAAAACAGGAAGATTTAAGGCATTTCACAAAATTGAAACAGAATTCTAACCTCTAGGTCTGGAAGCCAATCAGTGATGTGAGGAACGTCTTCAAACGTAGAGCCGCAAGCCCCCGCCTCTGACTTTGGATTCAGAAGCTCGGATCTGACAACGCCCCACTTTCCAGCTGCTCTTAATTGAATATTGCTCACATCGTGCATCGGCCGAGCCCTAGAGCTACCACGACCCCGGACCCCAAAACCCAAAAAAGCACCACGACGAGGGAGGTTGGATACAAGAGACTTAGAATCCGCGTTGCCATGGCTGGCAAGGGTGACAGCAGCGTGCAGGTAGTGAGCTGGAATAGGTGCTACTGCCGCTGCCATGACTAATAAGACGGCAGTTAATATGGATGATTGCGAGGTACGTTGAAACCAAGCCGGGAGAAGGAATGGGATGGGGGAAACGCGAATGTAGGATTTCGTGAACTAGGGTGTCTTCTCCAGTGTGGCAGAAGAAAAAGGAATGAGGGGAGGGAGAGAGAGAGAGACGTGATGAAGAGGATCACAAGGCAGGACCCAGTTTCCCAGTCTATGGGGGGTGTGGGGGTAGGCGGTGGGTGTTGGCAAGCAAGTAAGGGGAGTGGCGGATGATGCACAACAGTGCAGGTGTGTCTTCGTCTTCTTCGTCGTCGTACCACAATGATTCTTCGCCACTACTGCAGCACAACAGCACTGCAGCAGAAGTAGGAGTAAGTGGTGTTGGAGGAGTAAGGTAGCCGACCCATTGTCGACCACCCCCATTACCAACCTATAGTGTGTCTTATTGTGCAGTTAGTCTACCAAGTTGGTCTCACACCAATCAAAAAAATTCTTATTCAATTGATCTGAAATAGGTTGTGGATTGATTAAAACAATGTTAAGTGAGCAATAAATAAAATTTATTTATTGTAGTTAAAATGGATTAATGTGAACTAACAATAGGTGGTAATTGTTGGTTGGTTGGGGTGAAATAATAGTATAACTAAGTACCACACTTCTCTTGATAGCATTAATAGGTGTCACACATTGTAGTTTTGTAAAAGTTGGATTCTTGGTTTTATAACCCACCATTGGTTGGAATTCGGTAACTCTATATGCCCTAAATGGGTGGAAGAGAATCTTCAAATAAATCATTTATATAAATTTTTTTTTTGGACCAAATTGTGTAAAAACACTTGGAATCCTCTTGATTTTTATTTCCCTATATGGGAGTATTTTTTTCCATTTTTCCACCTATTGGATATATACTAAGTTATTGGAAATGGATTATCTACCTTAGTCGATAATAAGGGAAGGAAGGGGAGGAACAGAAGACAGAAGCACAATAGGGCTCTCTCTCTCTCTCTCTCTCTCTCTTGTTGCATTTGCATTCTTCAATTGCACAACAAATTCCTTGAAGTTGCTTCAACTTCAACACACTTACACATTTATCTATATGTCATGTAGGTCACAAAAATAGTTTATAATTTTATATTTCATTATATTAAAATTTCTCGTCTTTGTGAATTGTAGAGAATTTTTTTAATACATTCACTTAGGCAAAATAACTTTTTTTTTTGTGGTTATTATATTATAGAAGGAATAGAAGAGTCTAGAGCAGACATCTACACAAGTAATGATAAGCTAACTATTATGTAGATTGTGGAATTTAAATATATTCATTTATTTGATATTTCATTGATATTTTCACATTTATCTACCCAAAAAGGCCACATCCAATGTACATAAGTGTTTGTATATTGAACTTAGCAAAAAAAACATTCAAAATTCAAAATTTTGTCTAAAAATTAATGAATCTCAGATAAAGTTAGTACTACTTAACAATTTAAGAGATAGCACATTAAAAAAATGACTCATAAACATTATACTTCAATATAATCTTTAATAAAAATTTAAATTGCATATATCTACACATGCTAAAAGAAGCACTTTGTTTTTTGATATTACTTTGTAACAAGTATTTATTAGAACCATATAACATAATGAATGGATGAATACAATATTATCTTATTAAATGTTCAACTATTTCTTCAATAGATTGTTAAGTACAATCTATATTGTTCAATATGAAGTTTAAAAAAATCCTATTAAATTCAATTAAATAAAAAAAAATGATCTTTTTATTTGCTTAAAAAATTATTATGATAAAATAAAATAAAAATAGATATATCTATGAAATTCATGCATATTTTTATAATAAGATTGTAAGTGGTTATATTCAAATTATTATTTTTTATGATATGAATTATAGAAATAAATTAAAGTATATATATATATATATATATATATATATCATATTGAAATAATTATAATATATATATTTTAAATGACATGAAATTGTTTTTTATTTGATTAGAGTGGATTTGAAATTCTTCCATAATTTGTTTATTTAAAATCATACAAGCACCTTTATATTACAAGATAAAATAACTACCAATAATATTATAATTAAATTATTAAATAATTTTAAAAATATTATATCAAGGATATTATTTTAATAATAACTTTTAAAAGAAAATATACTCATTTATCACTAAAAAGAAAAAAATTAACAAAAAAGATAAAGATATAGAATATAAAAGAAATAAAACTAGATTTTAATTATTATAAAGAAATAAGAGAGTATTGAATCATAACTTGAATATAAAGAAGGTGTTTATAAAATTAAAGATATTCTCATTCTTGTTTTTTTCATATACTAGCTACAAAAAAGATCTTGTAGAAATCTCATAAAAACCACAAGGCTTATGATCAAAGCATCAAATTGTAGGTTGCTTCTTATGCAACTCTCTAAAAGTAGTAAATTTATGGGAAAAGCTTTAATAATTAAATGAAATATCTATAAATATATAAAGGTATAGTCTAAGTCTAAGAAACTTTTTTTTTAAAATTAAAAAGAAAATTTTATATATTTAATATTTTATTTAATTTTAATTAATCAAATAATAAATTCATTTATTAAAAAATATCAAAAAATATTCTTGTATTAACTCTTAATAGACATAGTTTTGTAGCTAAACTAAAAAGTAAGTTAATGAAAAAATGTTTAAGCATACACATCTTTAGATCATATAAATTCAAACATTTACCAATAGGAATTAAAATTAGAATAAAAATAATAATATTTTAGAAGAAGTTTTTATTAAAAGCTTGTATATTAAAAATAAGAATTCTTTAGAATTTATCAATTTTTCAATAATTAGAGCATGCTATTTATGAAGATATTTTTTTAAAAAATAATAATAAAAAAATTAAGAAAAGAAGATGTAAAGTTGTATAAATAAAATGAAGTCCTAAACTTACAAAAACAATCAAGAGTACTAAGTTCAAAGTGGTCTCATGAAGAAGTAAATATTAAAAAAAACTATATAATATTAAAAGTAAATGGTAGTAAAATAAATAAATATGACATATATATTAGTAAAAAAGTATTTTTTAATGAAGATTGAAGAAGAAAAACCCATTTATGCATCTATTTTAACACATATCTATTACAAAATATTAATATAAGTACATAGAGGTAAATATAAATATTTTTTAAATATTTTTTATTATTAAGAAATATTATTAAAAAAATTTAAAATTAAATAAGACCTAAAATTATTTTAAATTATATTATGTAATTTTTAATTTTTTTTATAAGTTTCTAATTTTAAAAAAATTACTATTAATGCATTTTATAACTTAGATGCTTAATTCATAAGCTATTTGATTCTTAAAATTCTTTGACATAGCCTTTTTACATGCTAATACACATAGAAGCAAGACAAAACCATCATTAATCATGCCAATATCTTTCTTATAATTTATTCTTAGCTTAAGTCTTTCTAATTCCTTATATTTAGAAACCTATAATTTTGGTTTTTTATTATCTTATAGATATATATATATATATATATATATATATATATTGATACATTTATCTGTATTTATATCTTTTACACCAATTCAATGTTTTTTTTTAACAAGCTCTTGTACATATGCTTATTTTTGTTTTTATGATTGTGTAAATTATGCATCTTCATCCTAACATATTTTCGTTGCATAAGTTTTTTTTTTTTTTTTTTTTTTTTTTTTCCCTCTTCATATTGTGGTTTTCTTTTCTTATTTCTATAATTTTTATTTTTTTAATACTTTTCTCTATATTATAAATAAATTCTTAACAGATAGTAGTTTCAATATTTTTTTTTCCGAATTCTTATATGTATTAGACAACTATTTTTTGGAATTGGCAATATGTAACATAATCTTGTAAAAAAATTTAAAATAGATTTATAAACTTACTATTTTTTCTAAATACATAAGTAACTTAAAATCTATAATAATTTTTAAAATTTTATTTATATTATATTATATATTATTTAATTATTAAAAAAATTAAATATATCAGATAAATATATTTCGAAAATGATATCAGAAGTTGACATATCATATTGAATATATGACTAAAGAACCTTCAACTTAGCAAATTATTTATTAATGACTTACAATTGTTTTAATTTTGTATCATATCTATGTAGTTTTATTTTTAATATTCATAACAAATTTTTCATAAAATTTAATAATTTTATTATTTCTTTTAGTATATACATAATTATGTAAGTTTTTCTATTTTTTATTTATTTTTTTAAATAATTAGTTAGAATGTTATATATGATAATAAAAATAAAAAAATGATTACAAAAGATAAATATAAAAAAAAAAAAAACTTATAAACCAGATTCTAATATTGATTTTTATTGTAACTTAAGTTTATTTTTAATCTAGAAAATAATCTTATTCAATTATCTTAAAGATAGAATACAAAGATTGATAATTTAGTATTTAGTTTGTCCTTTGAAAATAATCAAATGTTATAGCATTTATCTTATTGACATTATAGAGGATTCTATATAGATTTAAAGTTATTGGTTGTATGACAACAAAAAAAACTATGTTTACTTCTCAAAATACATGAAGAAAAAAAATTGAGTCAATTTTAATCCTCAAATATGTGTAGCTATTGATTGCAAGAAGATATGTATATATATATATATATATATATATATATATGGTAAATTTTGTAAATAAATAAATTACCATGCTGAAAAATTGATTTTTTTTTCTTCATCAAGAATACATATTAATTTAATATAATAGTGGATTTAGTGTTTCACTAATAGATTCTAAAGCAATATTGGAATAGAGTTTAAACAAAAATAGACTAATTTTGTAATGTTAGGTGATGCAATTTTATTGCTTAAGCAACACACTACAAATTGAGTTCAATAGATCTATATTATTATTCTATTCATCCATATTTTTCAAGTAGAAATTTTTCTAGTTTTTGTGACTGTGTCACATATATTTTTTATAATCTCAAAGAACACTAAAAAAAACAAGGTTTTAAACTGATTAATTTTTCTTCTCTTCTAATAAACTTAATAACTAAAAAATAAAAAATAAAATAAAAAAATAATCCTTCTCTTTTGTAGTTTGGCTACTATTTGCATTTTTATATTTCTTCCAATCTTTTACTAATTAATAACATCTATAAAACAGACCACAAGACTATACATATTTTTTAATCTAAGATGGTTTGAACTTGGCATAG